CATGTTCCAGAGAACAATGAACATGTGTCCTTCAGAGAATCTTCCACAAAACTGTTAAAAGCCTCTCACCTAAACAGTTAAAAGAGTCGCAGATTCCTTCTTGACAATGTGAAGACAATTGTTCTTGTACTGACATTTTCATGGGCAAAACTCAGATTGTGTTCAGGGGAATTCTTTGAACATCACTAATAGCTTTGATAAATTTATGGAGCAGTAAAGGGAAAACTAGCAAAGTGAAAGATGAGAACTCTCTTTTCTTGGCCTGTTTTAGAGACTCATCCTGCCTTCCTTTTCCTGCTGTCCTCATCAATGTTTTTGCAAAGAAACACGTATTACATGTTATAAACATATAAGTTTATATAACTTCCATAAACACAGAAACCTCATTCATCTCTCCTAAATACGATCTCCCAGAAGCAACAGATGGGTATTAATACAAGGACATTTGTCTCTGTTTTCTTTTAAACAATGGCTCTTTACTCAGACTCTATGACTACAAACTGTGATTAGAAACAAAATATTCTATATCTATATACATTTAGATCAGCTTACCTCTTTGGGAAAAGTGCAACAAAATATAACTCACAAACACAAAATTGCAATTTGTCTAACTTTGGTTACATGTTCCTAATCCACTGAAATTCCTATTTTGTTAGGCTCTGATTGTGTCAGAAGGTTCTGCTAGGATGGCCAAGTGTCCATTTTACAAAGGGCAATGATTTATTTGAAGGACCACCTCTTTTTGAAGAGGTCTTCCATCTGAAGGGCTCTTCTGTCCAGTTCTGCTTTAAAAGATAAAGAACCATTCAGGACTGCTGTCCATCAACAGTTATCACCTGAAGAACACACTGAGCTGGCAGACATGCCGGTCATCTGGTCAACCCTCCACATTCCTGTGAGATGTACTGCATTTCCATTTCAATTATACTGATTATTTCTAAATTTGCACCATGCATATAAATAACCATGTGCAAACCACTGTCCTCTTTATTTGGTGATGCATTTCCACATGTTTGGCAAGTCTATCCAGTTCTACCTTTAAAAGCAGTCTAAAATGATCTTCAATAAATAAATGTTATCCCTTTCTTTTTTTGAATCAGAGCACTGCTTACACAAGTTACCGTCTGGAGTCTCTCCACGTGTCAGCAAAGTGCCAGATCAAACCTCCACTTTTCACAGAGGTGATTTATACTGCCCTTTTATCTGATTCTCCACGCCTTCAAAAGCTGACATGCAGAAGGTTCTATTCACACAGGAAAGGGTAATCCTGTGCCAAACCTGCTGATCCCAATTTTGGGAGCGGGGAGCGTTCACTCTGACAGCCTACCTGGGGTGAGAATGAGTACAAGGCTCTTGCTAGGCTGCATTCCTCCAAATAACCCTTTATTAAAATTTGATGAATCTCATCTATCACGGTGTCTCTGGACATTCCTAGTATACAGTTAACACCACAGAGGCAAAGATCTGCTTAAATATGTAAGGAACACGTTTTCCTTTCCCCTTTACTGTTTGTATGCAGATTAGTGCAAAATGGATAGAGAATCTTAATTCTGAAATCATAGAATTTAGCAACAGTATATATTGGCAACAGTGTCTTTTTCCATATCTTTCCCCAGTCTAGAGTCCCCTGGAGGTGACAGATTTTCTTGCCTGCATAAAGCAGGATGCGTACGCTACATAAGACCAGACAACCTGTGCTTGTACAGGAACTGTGGATCCAGCTTTGAAAGGGGACCCAACAGGCCACTTCATTACTAGTATTTTAGAGCTCAATCTTATGCATGTTGGCTCAGAAGAGTATATTTTCTGAGTCCAGGATTGTAGGTTCAAGTACAGATCTAAACCCCTTTTGCTTCCTGGTGCATTGCTTTATCATGTTCTGCAACAGGATTTACCTCTTTTACTGCTAGGGCTCCTTCCATTATGTACAGCCTGACCCTATGCAGGTTTACACAGGAGAAAGTCCCAGTGCTTTCAATGGCACTTGCTCCCAGCTACGTGCATCCTTAGCTTTATTTGCTTCAATACCATCACATGTTTTGTCTTGATTTAACTGAAAGGTGATGTAGTGAAACCAGGTTTTCTATATTTGATTTTACCAATGAATAAACAAAATAAGCATGAGCATCTATGTTTCCCCTGTTTTTTTCCTATCAATACATAATTTCTAAAAAGTCAGTTGGAATAATAGTTTCAGGGCCCCATGCTATGGCTGGTGAACACTGGCTGGAGACCACAGGAAAAGTTGGAGCCCTGATGCCGGTCTGGGTCAAAGCAGGGATTCTGTCTCCAGAGGACCCTTGCAGAGAGCTGCAGCTCTGAAGATGGAAGGGTGACTTCTGGAAGGGGGTGTTCTGCGGGCACGGGGAGGAGTGAGGAACCCCCCTCCTGTAAAGAATGCCGGCAATGCCACAACATCTCTCCCTTACAAGCTGCAAGCTGGCACAGAAGGTGTCAACCAGCCTTCCCCAAATTTGTGTCTTCCAGACATGTTCAAATTGCAACACCCAGAATTCCCAGTCAATGGCCTGCTGAATGGGAATTCTGGGAGTTGTGGTCCAAATGCCTCTGAAGGTCACCAGGTTGGGAAAGGCTGGCAGAGAGAGAGTTAAAATTGCCTTTGCAGCCTGGGGGATGTGCAGAGGCCAACCTTGTCTCCACACTCAGTTGGACCCCTGCAACCTTCCACTCTTGGAGAGTTGTGGGCAGGCTCCTGGAATGGAATCCCAAAAAAAGCAATAATGAAGCAAGCAAGACATGCTATCAGCCACATGGGTGACAGCACAGCAAACAGCCTTGGAAACAGGAGGAAAAGCTGAAATGACTGACTGACAGAAAAGCTTGCTCCATTGATTTCTCTGGTGTTTCTTTCCATCGATTCGCATTGCTTTTCCCCACCTTTTTCTTTGCAAGCTCCATGACTCATGCAGCCATCCCACTTAACAAGTGCTTTGGCTTGGCTGCTGTATGGGCTGCTACATGCATTTGGCAGTTCCTGCTTTTAAAACTTGCCCAAATTTTGTAATCACAGCTCATTCCTTACATGCCCTGGAAAATATATGTGCAGAAAGGCATTCAAATGGAAAGCATATTCCCCAGCCTTATGCTTTATTCTCACTAAGACCCAAACACCGCCAACAGAGTCAAGACCCTCTTACGTGAATAGGCAATGGAGCCCTAGAGTGGATCGCAGGATTGTCAGTCTCCTGGCACCCAGCCAGCCTTCTGAGAGCTTCTAAAGAGGAAATGCTTCTATGGCTAACATGCAGCCAAACGCCAATTACAGGGAAACACTGATTGCTTTATAAGTGGTTGGGTGGCAAAAATCAACAGCAGTGTTTGGAGTCTCTATTCGGTATCTAAAGCACACATGAATACAGGCTCCAAAAGATCAAGACCTCATGTAGATGATCAGGGACGTATGCGTAAGGATAACACTGTCTTCCAATACAGGACTTGATACACCATTTAGAGATGCATGCTCAGTTCTACCAGCATGCTAGCCCTTAACAGGCACTTGTTCAGATCACGTGGAAGCCAAAAAGGAGGAAACCAAAATGAGACCAGTGGTTCTTGACCTCAACTGTGAGTGGCTTACTGGGTCAATATCTATGAAAATCCTCTTTGGGGTATGAAAACAGGATGGATTTTTCCAGTTTGACCCTGCAGATCTTATTCTATTATGCTGCTTGCATCAAACTGATCTGTAGCGAATCAAGTCAATATGTGTATGTCTTTAAAAGGGGCAATTTGGAGGCAGGGGAGCTTGAAATTTGTAGTGATGGTGGTGTCATATATATACATAGGCAACCTTCTGCAAATACACATGTTCACAAGTCCACCTGCCTGCCACTGAGGCAAACCCTCCCTGTCACATCCTTCTCAGTGTCATCTTACATGACTTCCTGTAGCTCAGGAAAGCCATATTCTGCACTTGTCAAAACACTGGTCCATTTCCAACCCCTTCATTCCAGAAGTGCCAAAGCAGAAATTGAACATTCACGATCCTTTGCATGAAGAGACACTTGCTCTTCATGTCACTTCAGCTATGGATAGCCTTTCATGCAAGAGAAACAGTATGCAAACCACATGTACATGGCCACATGTGCCCTGCACACATCGTATTTTTATTATAGAAGTTATTATAGGCAGTTAACAGTCATTTCAAATCCTGCATATGGGTTTAAAACCCTCAAAGGCTTCCAAGAACAATAGACCACCCAAACGGACCCAGGAAGAAAACGAGGAAGGAAATTTGGGAGGAGGGGAGTCAATGAGAGATTAGTTTTGAAACTTGGATCTCAACAGCAAAAGCGGCAGCCAAATGTGGAGAAAAAATCCTCAGAACACAGGAGAGAAGACAGCAAAAGGGAACTTCCAGATAAGTAAGGAGAATGTATTTAAGCGTGGACTCTTTTTTGGCTCCTGGCCTTTCAGGTTCTCCATTAGCAGGGCAGTTAATGCTAAATGAGGACATGCAGTGAAAGGGGGACTGACTATAACATGTACATCATTGGGAAGCTGCTGCCAATTAGGGCTTTCCAGCGTACAGGCATGCAGAGGAATCCACAGGCAGGCACACAACAGTGTCTGCGCCATTTGCAAGTGTTTTCCAACATGGGTGCGCTAGCCATACAGGCAGTTCCCTGCTATAGGGTCCCTGCTAGCCCCCTGAAAAATGGCTATGGGTAACTTCTGAAGACATCCACATTAATATAGCTAGGTAAAGTAAATGCCCTTACTGAATACATCCAGACTAAAAGCACATTTAAACTTCTGAAAGTCATTGAATACAGCACATTTTAACCTAAATAATCAAGAATGTTTAATAAACTTTGGTAAGATCAGATCCAACATAAGCATGAACATTCGCTTTGCAAGCAAGAACAGTTAGGATGATGAAGCCATAATTTTATTTATTGCTTAGTTATGCGTATGAAAGGAAAGAAGATGATGTTCTACAATAACATTTGCCTAGGAATGTTTATCTGCTTTCTTACCATTGAATGTTAAGAACACCCTGGCCTGAGGCTGGGAAGATCCTTTTACACTGCAGGAGCAAACAAACACCCCAATCAACACTCGGAAACTTAGCAATGTCATTATCTTCAGATGTGAAACTTAATATCCAAGAAATGAAACCTAAACAAAATAAAGAAAGAGAGGTCATTGTAGATTTTCTTCTTTAAATTCTGCATTTTGCAAGATGCATACGTCAACAGTGCAGCACTGTACCAGTCAATGGCATTGTAAAACTCATTGGAAGGAATGGGTTGTACCCTTATGTTATGAAAGGATGAAAAATCTGGCATGGCGAGTAGTAAAAGAGGCAGATGCATGTGCAGTGTCAATTGGGTAATGCCTGCTGTAAGGATTAGTCTCAGCTCTTTTTTTTCTGTAAAGATGAGTCCCACCTGCTGGAAAAATAATTATGTTAAATGTCAAGGCAGAGCAAAGCAAGGGCGAGAGATAAGGTTTCATGAATGAAAACGTCTTGATATTTTTAGATCTCTGTCTTTACTGTACTCTTCTTGAAAATATAAAAGGGGCTGCTCTGCTTGAAGTGTCTGCAGTGATCACTTTGGGCTTTAGTCCTGGATAAAATGGGAATGGAAAAATGTCTTAAGGCCACTCTGGGAAGCCAGAGGAGCAAAGGACACAAAGAGCTTCCCATTCCAACAGCACGACCTCTTTTCCTTGGCATAGGGCACCCAAGAAGACTGGGAAAAGGGCAATGTTTGCCATGTCATCTTTCAAGGATCAAAATCCTCCGCTGCGGATGCCTGGTCCGAAGTCCCCAAAGTGCTCCCTACTATGAAGCCAGTGGATGCATCTCTGAGATTAGCAGGGATGGATTTCACTTCTTATATGCCATGCTCATCATGCGATTCAGAGAGGTTGGCCTTGACGCTGAACTAAGTGGGCAAGGATAATCAGTGGTACATACAAGGGCAGGTCAATGGAATTGATCCTTACTAAGTGCACTTCTGCAAAGACAGATAAACATACATAAAGTTAGGAATGTTACTTGGGCAATGTGTGTTAAATGCCCGATGGCTCCATTAATTCACATTTGCCAAGACCTCCTGGTGGTCATTGATTGCCCAATATGCAAAATCCCCTGTTGGTGAAGAGCGTGCAAAAACCTCCACACACCCTTTGGATGCCGCCACTTTTCATTTTCTCTCTGCCTTCATGTGAATGGGCTGAATTTCTGGTTTTCACTTGCTAGCCAACACCATAACCCAAATATACACAAGCACATACTGCCTTAACAATGATATAACCATCCTTCTTAACAAGGCCAAACTCTGAGAATTCTGCATTCCTAAGGCATTTTAGATGAATGTATCACACGAAAAAAGGGAGAGAGCTAGAACGTTGATATTAAACATTTCTTCTAATTACTCAATAGAAGTTTTTTTACACATTAAAAAATACAGATCCCCCACTTGTATCCAATAATTAAATGACCAAATACTATGCATGATGTGTTAGAGGTATACATTTACAAACATTTATTCTTTTAGTAGTGGGTTTTAAAAGCGCTACGAGCTGTAAGCCAAGCAGCAGTGACCTGAAGTCATACGAATGCAGATTAGTCTGGATATCAAGAAATAATTTTCAACCCAAGCTCAACAGAATGGATGCCATTTTAAATTATTCCTGTTGGCAACTATCTCAACTTGATAAGCTTATTCACATGAACCAATTCACCCCATAAACCTCCCTGTGATTGTCTGACAATCACAGGGAGCAATTAAATCAGTCTCTACATGGCTCCTGTATAACACACACCAGCCCTAATCTCTAGGGAATATGTTTTTGCAATTGATTATATCAGATGGCCTCTTTGGTAAACTCTAAAGTGCTATAATTGAGGCTTTGGAGAGGGCAAATTGATTAACACTATTATATAAACACTGAGCTCCACAGA